TATATATACATATATATATATATATATATATATATATATATATATATATATACATATATATATATATATATATATATATATATATATATATATATATATATATATATATATACATATATATATATATATATATATATATATATATATATATATATATACATATATATATATATATATATATATATATATATATATATATATATATATGTATATATATATATATATATATATATATATATATATATATATATATATATATGTATGTATGTACATATATATATACATATATTTATGTACATATATAAACGTATATATATAGACACATACATATATTTATACACATATATGTATATACATATATATATACACATACATATAATTATACGCATATATGTATATATATGTACATATTTCTATATATATGTACACACATACACACACACATATATATATACATGTATATGTATATATATACACATTTGTATATATATATATATATATATATATATATACATATATAGATAGATAGATAGATAGATAGATACATAGGTGTGTGTGTGTAAACGTGTTTGAATATGTATATATATACATACATATGTATATATATATATATATATATATATATATATATATATATATGTATGCATATATATATGTATGGATATATACTTATGTACATATATAGGTATATGCATATACATATATTTACACGTGTATATATATGTATATGTATATATATGTATATATACATATATACATATATATACAGATATATAGATACACACACACACACACACACACACACACACACACACACACACACACACACACACACACACACATATATATATATATATATATATATATATATATATATATATATATTATATGATAATAATAATAATAACAATAATAATAATAATCTTTTAAACATCGCTGCTCACCATTCTGCATTTACTTTTAATAATTCCCTTTACACCCAAGTTGGCGGCGTAGCAATGGGATCGCCACTGGGACCTTGTTATCACGAACGAGCTTGGCTCAATAACTGCCCCTCCAACAATCCAATTTTTTAATCGTCGATATATGGACGATACTTTCTCATATTAGTGACCCTTCTTATATTAGTCCTTTTTCATATCTCAATTCACAAAACCCGAACATTAAACTCACCTGCGAAGTAGAACAAAACAATAAACTATCCTTCTTAGACACTTCCATTGCCTTTCAAAATGGTGGTTTCTCTGTCAACACTTACAGGAAACCAACATTCACTGCCATCAGACTTTCGGAATTCACTTTCTGAGCTACATGCTTCTCATTTGCAAACTGAACAGCCTGAAAACACTTATTAACCGGGCCTACAATATTTGTTCTTCGTGTTCTGATTTCGAAATCTTAACCTTCCATCCTAACAGATTCGATCTGATCATAGCCGAATCTCTGCACATAATTACCATAAACTCTGAGCTCAAAGGTACGACTACCGCAACCACTCTATATACCATGTAAACAACCATCCACCTGTTGAATCGTTAGTTACGCTAAATTGCCCCTTTTCTACATTCGAATTTTACCTTTGTCAAACCGTTCTACATTATATGTTTCGTTATTCCTTGCCAAGCATTTTGTATATATATAAATTTTGTATCTACTTTTAGCATTGATGATGGAGATCGATTCTCCGAAACGTCTGCACCAATGAAGTTTTACTCAGCAGTATTCCTGATTAGGATCAAATTCCCTAAGAACACCTTTATAACCCAATGCATAAGAAGGTAATATGACAAGAATACCCTGGACGAGCAAAGAAGGCTTGAAAAGAACTTTCGCTCTAAGAAACTGGATAATATATATATATATATATATATATATATATAGATAGATAGATAGATATGTAAATATACATATGTGTGTGTGTGTGTGTGTGCGTGTGCGCGTGTCTGTGTTTATAAATATATGTATATACACACATACACACATATATAACACACACACACACACACATACACACACACACACACACACACACACATACACACACACACACACACACACACACACACACACACACACACACACACACACACACACACATATATATATATATATATATATATATATATATATATATATATTCAATAAATCTAGTTTTACATTGTGGATTTTTCTATCATATATATATATATACATATATAAATATACATATATATATATATATATATATATATATATATATATATATATATATATATATATATATATATACACGCACAGACACAATCAGTGTTATTTTCTGGACAATTCCATTTGATCCATACGATGCCATTTTCGGGTAACAAACAAAGCAATGGGTAAGATTTTGTGACTTTGGCTTCCTGAACATTTTGCAATTATGATATGAAATACCTTTGCTTCTAAAATTGCATCCCGTATGTATTATGTACTGCATCATATGCGTGGCCTAGTCACTGTAACCTACTCTCTCCGAGATAGTCTATAAATTTGATTGGGCTGCTCCACATTTGATATCCCTGCAATACTTTCGTAGTGCCAGATGGTACCATGCTCTGTTTTCTTTATTTTTTCAGTGTTCAGTACCTAGCCCTCATAATCTCGAAGAGAGTTTTTGTTAGATACTGCAAATGATTATTTTCCATGGTAAGTTCCTAATCTGGCTGATTGATTAATTGCAGTGAGTCTATGAATTGCACCCTGGCTGCCAGTAAAGGCAATTAGGTGTCATAATAAGTGGCTACTCCCTTTCTCTCTACTGAGAGAGAGAGATAGATAGATAGATAGATAGATAGATAGATAGATAGAGAGAGAGAGAGAGAGAGAGAGAGAGAGAGAGAGAGAGAGAGAGGTAGATAGCACAGAGTAGACATAAAAAACCCAGATATGATAAAGTACGATCAGTATAATAAAGATAGGGAGATTTAACCCATTCGCCGCGGATGGCAAGAATAGATGCCATACCCACTTTGATACACGTTTATTTATTGTATTTACACATAGATGGCTCTACAAGTTCTTAATCACCAAATAGCCAGTTATCAAGAACTACCTATTTCACCTGTTTAGCCTTTTCCTTCACTTTCGGAAAGGGTTTTTTGTATCATCTTATTGTCAAAAATATTCTAATGGCAATTCAATCATCATAACATCAGTAACAATAATAACAGCATCGAAAGCAATGATATTAATTTTCCCGCCAATTGAATGAATGGGAAAATCAGGGTCGGTAACTAGGGCCTACTGATAGACTCCTTGCCGGCTGAGTACATGTGGAGCCATCTGTAGGTAGCAAAATTCACCAAAACCAACAGGGGACAGAACATAAATCCGTGGCCAATGGGTTAAACACACACACACACACACACACACACACACACGCACACACACACACGCACACACACACACACACACACACACACACACACACACACACACACATATATATATACATTAAAAAAATCCGAAAGAATGGGAATTGATTGGTTCCCTATGCTCGTCAAAGAAAATGGAATCACAGCCACCACTGTATGGGAAACTAAAGAAGTTAAATTTTATTTTAAACTACAACTCTATTTGTTTCATTTATTTCAGCGGACGTGGGTATCAAGTATAACTACTATAACAGAAGTTTCCATCCAAGCAGACTAAATTAACTCAATATCAAGCTATTTCATATAATTACAATTTTGTTTCTGTCCTTTCATTATTTTTATTTTAACTTATCTCAGATAAACTGAAGCCACTTTAGCTTACCTTTCAATAAGCAAAAATGTACAAATGGGCATCCTTAACTATCTTCCTAGCAAATTTATATACTTTTAATTTCGCCCGAGTCTCTAATAAGAAAACTCTTACCATTCTATGTAAGAAAACCAAAGTATTTTAGGGGACACCACTCTAAAATAATACCCTACGACGGCTTCAAACTGAAAAGATATATATACATAATGTTCTAAATATATAGTGAAAAATTATTTAGAAAACACAGTTCAAAGATAATGCGCAGGGTGCTGGCAAGCGCATAGCATGCATGTGTGACTGGTTGCTACGGTGGTGGAAAGGATTAGGGTAGGGAGTTGGGAGTTGTGAAGATGCTAGTAGTGTCGTGTGCTTGTTAAGTCTGTTAATGGAGGTTTTAAGTGTGCTCGATTCAATTATGTGTTGGGGTAGCCTGTTCCAGTTTCGTATGGTGCGTGGCAAGGAGAGTCAGTGTTGGTGTGGTATGTAATCTTACTACTGTGTGAGTTTCGTATGTTCCGTGTATGTGCCGTTTGTAAGTATTCGTGTTTGTTAATGTCAATAAGGTTGTTTGTGATCTTGAAAATGTTTGTGAGTCTGCGTGTAAGTGTGAGTATGTGTGTGTGTGTGTGTGTGTGTGTGTGTGTGTAGTGTGAAGTATCTGTGTGTGTGTGTGTGTGTGTGTAGTGTGAAGTATCTGTGTGTGTGTGTGTGTGTGTAGTGTGAAGTATCTGTGTGTGTGTGTGTAGTGTGAAGTATCTGTGTGTGTGTGTGTGTAGTGTGAAGTATCTGTGTGTGTGTGTGTGTGTAGTGTGAAGTATCTGTGTGTGTGTGTGTGTGTAGTGTGAAGTATCTGTGTGTGTGTGTGTGTAGTGTGAAGTATCTGTGTGTGTGTGTGTGTAGTGTGAAGTATCTGTGTGTGTGTGTGTGTGTAGTGTGAAGTATCTGTGTGTGTGTGTGTGTGTAGTGTGAAGTATCTGTGTGTGTGTGTGTGTAGTGTGAAGTATCTGTGTGTGTGTGTGTAGTGTGAAGTATCTGTGTGTGTGTGTGTGTGTGTGTGTGTGATATAGATAGATATATATATATAATGTATATATATATATATTTATATGTATGTATATATATATATATGTATGCATACACACACACACATACGCACACTTATATATATATATATAGAATATATATATATATAATTATAAAAAAGAAAAGAAAAAAAGAAAAAAAAAAGATAATCAACAAAACTACAAGGACGGGACAACGGACTCGATCCAGTCCAGGTAATGAGCCACGTTCACGTACACGCCCGGGACGGCCACTTGCCCGCACCCGACGCCCCATGACACCAGACCGGCCAAGCGGAAGGCGCCGTCGTCGCCGCGACACACCAGGGGTCCTCCGCCGTCGCCCTGAAGACAGAGTCGCTTGTGTAAACAAATTTGTAAGGGAAAAAATACCTCCAAATAATCTATTTTTCAGCTAAAACGAGATCATTATGAGAAAATGAGAAACAAACTCACCTTGCAGGTGTCGCGACCTGCCTCGCCTCCTGCGCAAAGATTTCCTTGGTGGAGACTAAAGGTGGCACCCAAACGCGTGTGTTTGAGGGCCGTCTGGCACTGGAGGTGAGACAGGACTGGAAGCTCCACCTCTTTCAGGATGCTCTGGAACTTGCCGTCGCCTCCAAAGGCGTCCTTACCCCAACCGGTGGACTGACATCTTTGTCCCACGAATGTGCTGTGGGCGTCCGGGAGACACACGGGCGAGATGTGGGGACTGTGGGCGGAGGGAGGGAGAATGGTTAGTAAAGTTACACTCAAGACGGACACCCTTAACTCCAGATGTAAAGCCAAGAGAACGCACCATAAGCCAACGGCGGACTCACTTGGCCGAGAAGTCGATGTTGTGCTCGAGGGTGAGGATGGCGATGTCGTTGACCAGGTTTCCGGCGTAATACTGCGGGTGGACGAGGAGTGTGGCGGGCCTGAGCTCGATGTGGCTGAAGAACTCGGTGTCTGCGCGGACGTCCCACTCGCCTAGACGAACTTTCAGCTCCGTCAGCTGTAGTTTACTGACACAGTGGGCGGCGGTTAGCAGGTGGCGGTCGTCGATGAGTGTGGCGCCGCATACGTACTTGACCTCGCCGTTGTCCTGCCTGAGGATGGCCGCCTGCCACGGGTGTTCCCCGAACTCTGTGTCGCCCTCCACGAACGAAGGGTTCTTGACGCGGCCGAGGACGCCTTGCGCTTGGCTGCGTCCGCATGTGGCTACATGGCGGGACTGAGGCGCGATGGGGTTGCGACAGCACACTTGGTCGATCCCGCAGCTGCTGCCACTTGGGAAGTAGTCGAAGCTGTGACGCTGGAAAGGGGAGAAACGAATGAGAGATATTAGAAGGAAACTTTTTGGAAAACGGAAAGAAATCATTCTTAGAGGAAGGTGAAGGATGTTTTTTTCTAAGTGAAATGCCTCACTTAAGAGAAAATTGTAAACGTGGTTCTTGAAGCAAAGGCTCAAGAAGGGTTGAGAAACTTACCTCCTGAGGGACGTCGGTGACGTTGGCGTGGTGATGGTGAGAAGGCGTGAGCAGATCCCTCCTGACGCGGGTGGCGTTAAGGTCGAGGGCATCGTCGGTGTAGGTGTAGTCATCCTCAAGAGGGAGAGTCGTAGTTACGTCGTCCTCGACAGGAGATATGGTGACGAGATCGTCATCGGAGACAGAGGTGGAGGCGAGGTCGTGGGTGGCGTTGGAGAGGATGTCGGTGTGGCGAGAACGGGCGTCGATGAGGTCACTGAGGTCTGGGAGTGGGCGGGACACGACATCGTGGGCGTAGCAGGAGGCGGTGGGACGCAGACGCAGTGCTCACGGTGGGCGGGAGAGATGGCCTCGATGGTGGGTTGTGGAAGGTGGAGGTGAGGGAGGAGGGCGCCTTGGGACGCATGGGCGGCGGTTGTGTGGGTGGCAGAGTGAGACGGGCGGGGCGCGAGGGGGGGTGAGGCACCGTGGGCGGGGGAGGAGGGCAGCTGGTGGAGGTGGGTGTGGGTGTGGATGTGCTGCACCACCGATGTGGGCGCGAGGTGAGCATGGTTGTGGGAGGTGTATGCTGGCTTAGGGGCAGCATAAGTGGGCACAGGGGCAACATATGCATGCTTGATTTTGAAATAGGTATTTTGAAAGGAGTTATCATGTGTATGTACAGCCACATATTCAAACACAGGTTTACTTCTCTCTCTCTCTCTCTCTCTCTCTCTCTCTCTCTCTCTCTCTCTCTTCTCTCTCTCTATATATATCTGTCTCTCTCTCTCTGCCTTTATCCTTCTCTCTCTGTCCTTTTTACCTTATTTCTCTCTGTCTGCCTGTCGTTCTGTCCATCTCTCTCTATCTCTATCTTATCTATCGGTCTATCATTCTATCTCTCATCCCCTCTCCTTGCATTTCTCTCTACATTATGTTTTACCTTGGTACTCCTACCTGTTTCTTTCTCCTCTCTCTTTCTCACTCTCGATATATGTATCTCTCTCTCTGTCTCTGCCTTTATCCTTCTCTCTCTGTCCTTTTTACCTTATTTCTCTCTGTCTGCCTGTCGTTCTGTCCATCTCTCTCTATCTCTATCTTATCTATCGGTCTATCATTCTATCTCTCATCCCCTCTCCTTGCATTTCTCTCTACATTATGTTTTACCATGGTACACCCATTTGTTTCTTCCTCTTCTCCCTCCTTCACATGTCTGTCCGTCTCTCTCTCTCTCTCTCTCTCTCTCTCTCTCTCTCTCTTTCTCGTGTGCTGTGTGGTGTAGCAACCCCGGCCATTCCTTGCATACAGATGCAAAATAAAAACAGACATGTCATACAGGGAATGTCAATTGTAACAAATGGAATTAGATTTAATGAAAAAATAAAAAATAAAAAATGGTAACGTTTATGCTTAACAATCATGTGATTAGCATTAACGTTAGTGTATAACTGCGTGTGTATGGATAACGTAGTGAGATTATTCTGACGAAGCTTTTGATCAATATTACTTTTACCAAATCTTGCAAAGTGTATCTTAAATTCAGAAGAAAAAGAACGGATATGCAAAAGAGAATTACAGATCGCTATTATATAAGACATGTTACGTTCATTCTGCTAAATGTTTGCTCAACACAAAAATAATTTCCCAATCCATAGCTCCATTTAACCCTTAAGTAGCTCGTCATATTAAACAACTTCTGGAAGTTCAATCGGTTGTGTAAACTAATGGTTCAGTCACATCCATTTTATATTATATTTATACATAACAGCGTATAGGAGGCAAATATTTTGGAATTCCATATCATGCAATTTCTGACTTTTAAAGTAACTTCATGTCATGTAAATATATTAACAGGAGATCCTTTGGACATAGGTTTATATAATCATTTGCCAACAGCAATAAAGCTAGACATTATTAGTCACTCTGTCCAATTCAAAGGCCATGTCCACATTTCCCCCCCTTTATCATGATTAAGAAAAGATTGGGTCACTGACACAGTATTTTATTAAAATATGATCATAAGTATAAGTTAAAAGTTTTGATCACACTGAAAACCAGCAGTCTGATATTATGATGTCAATTGAGCAACAATCAAAACCTAATGAATATGTCACAAAAGAAAAAAAAAAGATAATCAACAAAACTACAAGGACGGGACAACGGACTCGATCCAGTCCAGGTAATGAGCCACGTTCACGTACACGCCCGGGACGGCCACTTGCCCGCACCCGACGCCCCATGACACCAGACCGGCCAAGCGGAAGGCGCCGTCGTCGCCGCGACACACCAGGGGTCCTCCGCCGTCGCCCTGAAGACAGAGTCGCTTGTGTAAACAAATTTGTAAGGGAAAAAATACCTCCAAATAATCTATTTTTCAGCTAAAACGAGATCATTATGAGAAAATGAGAAACAAACTCACCTTGCAGGTGTCGCGACCTGCCTCGCCTCCTGCGCAAAGATTTCCTTGGTGGAGACTAAAGGTGGCACCCAAACGCGTGTGTTTGAGGGCCGTCTGGCACTGGAGGTGAGACAGGACTGGAAGCTCCACCTCTTTCAGGATGCTCTGGAACTTGCCGTCGCCTCCAAAGGCGTCCTTACCCCAACCGGTGGACTGACATCTTTGTCCCACGAATGTGCTGTGGGCGTCCGGGAGACACACGGGCGAGATGTGGGGACTGTGGGCGGAGGGAGGGAGAATGGTTAGTAAAGTTACACTCAAGACGGACACTCTTAACTCCTTCAAATGTAAAGCCAAGAGAACGCACCATAAGCCAACGGCGAACTCACTTGGCCGAGAAGTCGATGTTGTGCTCGAGGGTGAGGATGGCGATGTCGTTGACCAGGTTTCCGGCGTAATACTGCGGGTGGACGAGGAGAGTGGCGGGCCTGAGCTCGATGTGGCTGAAGAACTCGGTGTCTGCGTGGACGTCCCACTCGCCTAGACGAACTTTCAGCTCCGTCAGCTGTAGTTTACTGACGCAGTGGGCGGCGGTGAGCAGGTGGCGGTCGTCGATGAGTGTTGCGCCGCACACGTACTTGACCTCGCCGTTGTCCTGCCTGAGGATGGCCGCTTGCCACGGGTGTTCCCCGAACTCTGTGTCGCCCTCCACGAACGAAGGGTTCTTGACGCGGCCGAGGACGCCTTGCGCTTGGCTGCGTCCGCATGTGGCTACATGGCGGGACTGAGGCGCGATGGGGTTGCGACAGCACACTTGGTCGGCCCCGCAGCTGCTGCCACTTGGGAAGTAGCCGAAGCTGTGACGCTGGAAAGGGGAGAAACGAATGAGAGATATTAGAGGGAAACTTTTTTGAAAACGGAAAGAAATCATTCTTAGAGGAAGGTGAGGGATGTTTTTTTCTAAGTGAAATGCCTCACTTAAGAGAAAATTGTAAACGTGGTTCTTGAAGCAAAGGCTCAAGAAGGGTTGAGAAACTTACCTCTTGAGGGACGTCGGTGACGTTGGCGTGGTGATGGTGAGAAGGCGTGAGCAGATCCCTCCTGACACGGGTGGCGTTAAGGTCGAGGGCATCGTCGGTGTAGATGTAGTCATCCTCATGAGGGAGAGTCGTAGTTACGTCGTCCTCGACAGGAGATATGGTGACGAGATCGTCATCGGAGACAGAGGTGGAGGCGAGGTCGTGGGTGGCGTTGGAGAGGATGTCGGTGTGGCGAGAACGGGCGTCGATGAGGTCACTGAGGTCTGGGAGTGGGCGGGACACGACATCGTGGGCGTAGCAGGAGGCGGTGGGGACGCAGACGCAGTGCTCACGGTGGGCGGGAGAGTTGGCCTCGATGGTGGGTTGTGGAAGATGGAGGTGAGGCAGTAGGGCGCCTTGGGACGCATGGGCGGCGGCTGTGGGGATGGCAGAGTGGGACGGGAGGGGCGCGAGGGAGGGAGAGGCACCGTGGGCGGGGGAGGAGGGCAGCTGGTGGAGGTGGGTGTGGGTGTGGATGTGCTGCACCACCGATGTGGGCGCGAGGTGAGCGTGGTTGTGGGATGTGTATGCTGGCTTAGGGGCAGCATAAGTGGGCACAGGGGCAGCATAGGTGGGCTTAGGGGCAGCATAGGTGGGTTTAGGGGCAGAGTAGGTTGGTACAGGGACTGCATAAGTCGGATTTGGCTTAGGGGCGGCATATGTTGGCACAGGGATACCATAGGTGGGCACAGGGGTAGCATATGCTGGCTTAGGGACGGCATAGGTCGGAACAGGGTCAACATATGTTGGTTTGGGGGCAACGTAGGTGGGCACAGGGGCAACATATGCTGGCTTGGGAGCAGCATACGATGGTACTGGGGCCACGTAGGCTGGTTTGGGGGCAGCATAGTCAGGAGTTGGGGCACCATAGGAGGGCTTGGGAGCTGAGTAAGATGGGTTTAGGGGCTTCGGGGGAGCGAAGAAAGGCTTAGGGGCAGGGTATGAGCCCTTGATTGGAGCGGAGACGCCCTTAGTGACGGTGGACTGGGCGTGGGCGGCCTGCTGGTTGAGGGTGGCGTAGCTGGACGTGACTTGGGGGACGGAGGGACGCCCATAGTGAGACTCCACTGCCGGAGGGTAAGTCTTCTTGTCGCACTGAAGGAGAGAGAAGTTCTGGTTATTTCGTTTCCTGAGAAAACCCTTTTTTGATATAAACACTTGAAAAGGATTAGCTCTGTTATCACAAATAGGCTTCCGCCGAGCGGACTCGTCACGAGCCAAGACGCTGGTCACTCACACCAGGACCGATGCCGAGGATGCACAGCTTCTTCCCGAGGACCAAAAAGCGGCCTTGCCGTCCTTCGTGGACGCTCTCGGCCGCCTCCCCCGACAGATCACGTGACTCCGCTTCCACCTGGACGTCCGTTGTGGTCGCGGGGTCGGCGGGGGTCGCCTGAAGTTCGTGTGAGGCGTCAGAACCCCACGACCAGTCGTCAGCCCGGACGCTGATGACCAACACCACCGTCAGCAATAAACTTACCAAACCTAGGATGATATTAAGTATTAAAATCAATGTTAGGCATTTGTATCAGTTGGTTTCTTATCGACACTATGATTCTAAAGAAACTAATGTGAAAAGGTGAATACTAATTTAAGTTAGGCACCTTTGAACTTCATTGTGAAGAAATAAATAAAAGCATATAATGGCCGGATCAGGTGTGGTTGCTGTCAGCGGAGGAGGAACTGTGTCCCGGTGAGCTTTGCGCGGCGCTTATATAGGGGCGCTGGAACCGCGTCCTTCGCCTTCGAGGATTCCCGGAGCCGCCGTCACCCAGGTCATTGCGCGAGAAAAAGGCTTTGATCCTCTCTTGATGTATTTTCATCTCTCTTTCTCCTTCCCTATCTCTCTGCGTGTGTATACACACACATATATATAATTATAAAAAAAGAAAAGAAAAAAAGAAAAAAAGAAAAAAAAAAAAAAAAAAAAAAAATATATATATATATATATATATATATATATATATATATATATATATATATGTATTTATGTATGTATCTATACATACATACACACACGCAAACACATACAGAGACATATAAATGTATATATATATATATATATATATATATATATATATATTTATATGTATGTATATATATATATACAAATATTTATATGTATGTATATATACATGCATATATGTATAGATATACACACATGTCTATACGTCTTTCTTTCTCCTCTCTCTTTCTCACTCTCGATATCTGTATCTCTCCCTCTGTCTCTGCCTTTATCCTTCTCTCTGTCCTTTTTACCTTATTTCTCTCTGTCTGCCTGTCTGTTTGTCCATCTCTCTCTATCTCTATCTTCTTATCTATCGGTCTATCTCTCCTCTTCTTTCCTTTCATTTCTCTTTACATTATGTTTTACCATGGTACACCCATTTGTTTCTTCCTCTTCTCCCTCCTTCACATGTCTGTCCGTCTTTCTCTCTTTCTCTCTCTCTATATATATCTGTCTCTCTCTCTCTGCCTTTATCCTTTTTTCTCTGTCCTTTTTATCTTATTTCCCTCTGTCTAACATTGCTTCTCTCTGTCTGCCTGTCCATCTCTCTCTATCTCTATCTTATCTATCGGTCTATCATTCTATCTCTCCTCCCCTCTCCTTGCATTTCTCTCTACATTATGTTTTACCTTGGTACTCCTACCTGTTTCTTTCTCCTCTCTCTCCTTCTTTCTCTATTCTTTATGCTCTCTTAGTTCTTTCTCTTTGTCTTCCTTTAAAAATCCGATTCTTCTCTCCCTTTCTGCTCACTTCTCTCTTTTTCCCTTCCTACCTTCCTCTCTTTCTCTCCCTCTCTCCTTCCCCTTTCTCTCGCTTCCTCTCCCTCTGCCTCCCGACCTTAGACCGTGACCTTCGCCAAGAGCATTCCCGGAGTCTCCAACATCCGGGTCATCCGTGGAAGGGCGCTGAAGGGACAACGTCCTTTCTGTCTTTGGCTAATTTCGACTGGAAAATGTCGAAAATTTTATTGATTCAAAAAGGTCTGTGCTTATTTTATTTTATTTTGGGTATGTTTCACCCCATTTTTCTTTTTTTTCTGTTTATACGAACCATCAGATCAACATCTTAGGGCCCGCAGTTATTGAAGATCTTAGATATGTCATTTGGAGAAGATAATATACTTGAATACAGATTTATGAATTTATTTAGAGAAAAGTTTTATATCAAAGTGGAGAGCAATGAGCGTACATAATCGTTACCTGACATTCATACATTTGCAAAATGTAACATTCAGTGTTGGGTCGTTCCTTTTGCGAAATTTTGATTTTTCTCCATTATTTTTTTTCATATGATAAGGAAACTTCACATTTTCACTTCAAAATCCCATAAAGTTCAGTCGTCCTGGATTCATGGATTCATTTGCCAGACTATTTGCATTTTTCTGCGCCTGCGTCTGAATGAATACGGGAAAGAGATGAAGTCAGGTAGGCCTAGTAACTGACTCCTTGCTGAGTAAGCGCTTGTGAATCTTCTACTTGTGAAAAGTGACACAGCAAAACCACAGTGCATCTTGTGCGTGTTTCAGACGTCAACGGTTTATGTAATAGCGAGCATCAACATCCATGCAGCTGGCTGTTTCCTACTGGTCTCACTGTCCTTTTTATTTGGCCAACATTAGTATCTACTTCTGGAGGACTGGGATAATATTTCAATATGATAACACCACGAACCTTACTAGTTTAAAATTTTAAATGCCTTCTTGCCTTTTGTCAGTGTCTCTATCATAATCGCTATATAGTTGAATGCTATCTACAATCCTTAAAAAAAATGAAAAAAAAATATATAGTTACAATCATATGCATATATATATGTATATGTAAAGAGAGAGATACAGATATGAACTTGATATGATCGTTAATTCTACAACACGAAATGGGCTACACAAATGATGTCAGACTGAAAATCCTTCAAGGGCTAAATTTAATTTAATACCATCTTCAGAATCAACTTTATTAATAACTGTCTCACATTACGTATCTGCACGTAAAATTTATTTACTTATCAAACTTTAAATGTTAACTAATGGCAACAAAGTGTACATGTATATACATTAGCGAGTGGCTGTCTTCTGTTTAGATTAATTTAGTAATTTACATTTATAATAATTATATGGATCTTCCCTTTATAACAGCAATATAAATGAAGCTATCATCATTAGGAAATGAAGGTTATTTGTGAATTTTCAGTATCTTAATCGTATACTATTTCTCTTGATTACGATCATAATTTCACAGGCTAATAATTCTTATCACCAGTCTGCGGGCTATCTATGACCCTCGCGAGGGCCACATCTGACCCTTGGACCATGAGTCTGACACACGTGGTCTGCGTGGTATCTCCTAGTGTGGCATTTCTAGTTTATTGCTTTAGATATTTTTTCAATCATTTTGATTAAAGCGCCGAAGCATGCAGTGAATTCACCTACCTTCTGTTAACGGAGACTATATAAGGTGCTAATCTGTGAAATCCAGGTGATGAAAAAAACAAAATAAAAGCCGTTGATGTAAATTTTTCATTCAATTATGTTTACTCGTTTTTTTTTTCTTATGGTTTATTAGCTTTGTGATTTGCCTGAATAATAGTTTTGCTATGTCTCAGAATTCACCTGCAGTGAATTCACCTGACTTCTGCTAAAGGGGACTATATAAGGTGCTAATCTATGAAAATTCAGGTGATGAAAAACAAAAAACAATAAAAGCCGTTGAGGTAAATTGTTTCCTTTAATTTTGTTCACTCTTTTTGCTTGTTTTCTTATGGTTTACAATCTTTACGATTTGCCTGAACTATACCTTTGTTATGTATCAGTTGTAATTTCATTAGATTGTCAACATATTTTCATTATTTTCATGTAAACTGATATTTTACTGTGCTAATTGCATCACTGCTATTATCATTCGTATGCAGCAAGCATGATCTCTTCTAAGACAACTGATACATTTTGGGAATATGTTTCCTCGTCAAAAGGTATCGCATGTTAATGCAGATGTACCAATAAGACGACAGAACTATAGCATCGTTATTTTCCTTTAAAAAAAATGTGTAATCACCAATAATTTGCAAGTGTTCTTGCATATATGAGATGCTGTCGTTTACTTTCTTAAAACTCACTCAGTTAACTCTTTGCACACTGTAAGCAACATCTACAGCCAATAATTTTGTTAGGCTGAATGATGTATCAAATTACTGTTTGTATTTGTTTGTATTTTCTCTTCCTTGTCATTAGAAAATGTAAAACGAGTAAATCATTTATACTTAATAATTTATTATTACACAAAAACATTCACATTATAACGAGACAGACTGAAGACCAGCAGGCTGACCCTAGCACACTGATGACGTCACTTGATTGGTGGCGTAGAGACGAGTATGACGTAATTATAACGATGACGTCATTAAAGCCTTGATGACGTGGTTTGAGCACTTATGAGTTGGAGAGGATGACTATAAGGACCGGACAGCGGACTCGATCCAGTCCAGGTAATGAGCCACGTTCACGTACACGCCCGGGACGCCTACCTGCCCGCATCCGACGCCCCATGACACCAGACCGGCCAAGCGGAAGGCGCCGTCGTCGCCGCGGCACACCAGGGGTCCTCCGCCGTCGCCCTGAAGACAGAGTCACTTGTGTAAACAACTTTGTAGGGGAAAATTTTCCTCCAATTAACCAAATTTTTCAGGTAAATAAAAGAGAAAATTATGAGAAACAAACTCACCTTGCAGGTGTCGCGACCTGCCTCGCCTCCTGCACAAAGATTTCCTTGGTGGAGACTAAAGGTGGCACCCAAACGCGTGTGTTTGAGGGCCGTCTGGCACTGGTGGTGGGAAAGGACTGGAAGCTCCACCTCTTTCAGGATGCTCTGGAACTTGCCGTCGCCTCCAAAGGCGTCCTTACCCCAACCGGTAGACTGACACCTTTGTCCCACGAAGGTGCTGTGGGCGTCCGGGAGACACACGGGCGAGATGTGAGGGCTGTGGGCGGAGGGAGGGAGAATGGTTAGTAAAGTTACACTCAAGACGGACACTCTTAACTCCTTCAGATGTAAAGCCAAGAGAACGCACCATAAGCCAACGGCGGACTCACTTGGCCGAGAAGTCGATGTTGTGCTCGAGGGTGAGGATGGCGATGTCGTTGACCAGGTTTCCGGCGTAATACTGCGGGTGGACGAGGAGAGTGGCGGGCCTGAGCTCGATGTGGCTGAAGAACTCGGTGTCTGCGCGGACGTCCCACTCGCCTAGACGAACTTTCAGATCCGTCAGCTGTAGTTTACTGACGCAGTGGGCGGCGGTGAGCAGGTGGCGGTCGTCGATGAGTGTGGCGCCGCACACGTACTTGACCTCGCCGTTGTCCTGCCTGAGGATGGCCGCCTGCCACGGGTGTTCCCCGAACTCTGTGTCGCCCTCCACGAACGAAGGGTTCTTGACGCGGCCGAGGACGCCTTGCGCTTGGCTGCGTCCGCATGTGGCTACATGGCGGGACTGAGGCGCGATGGGGTTGCGACAGCACACTTGGTCGATCCCGCAGCTGCTGCCACTTGGGAAGTAGTCGAAGCTGTGACGCTGGAAAGGGGAGAAACGAATGAGATATTAGAAGGAAACTTCCTCTAAGAAATACTTCTTAGAGGAAGGGGAGAGAATTTTTCTCAGAGGAGTGAAATGCCTCAAAGTTGAAAGAAAATTGTAAACGTGGTTCTCGATGCAAAGGCTCAAGAAGGGTTGAGAAACTTACCTCTTGAGGGACGTCGGTGACGTTGGCGTCGTGATGGTGAGAAGGC